ACCCAGCCTCACTGCAGTCTACACCATCGCCAGTGACTCTCGGCAGCCCAGCTCCAAGTCAAGCTGTTGTTCACCATCTTAGCTGTAGAGGGTGCAGCGTCACTGACCCTCATGTGGGATCCAAACCGGGGCCCTACTGCTCAGAGCTGGCGTCCCAGGCCAACTCCTAACCAACGCGCCACTCGGCTCGCCCAGATTTCACTTTTTTTTTTAGCTGAGCCATCCTGCCACCTGTTGGCAGCTCAGCTTGGGCCGGGCATCGAACCGCTCTTGCTCAGAGCTCAAACTCTTGAGCGAGCTCTTAACCAACTGAGCCACTCGGCCGGCCCTCCAGATTTCACTTTTTAAACACATAAAAGGAATAGATATAACACTATTAGTAAAATAAATAATATATATATATATATAAATTTTCAAATTCACTAACAAGCAAGATAAATGCTTGTTCACTATCTTAAACAAGAAAACTAGTTTTTATCAGTCATCCTCAATGACTGCAGTAAACTCAGTGCTCACTATATTGTTGATGGCACTATAAACAGGTTCTGCCCTTTTGGAAAGCAACAGAGCAAAATCTATCAAAAGTTATAATCATAAATCCAATTTCTAGATTAAAAAAATAAAAAAGGAAAGATCTGTGAGTGAAGACTAGAAAATTATGTAAAGCAGCAAAAGACAGGAAAAATGAGTTATAAAAATGATATATATGAATCTTGTATCACATGGAAAACACTTATATAGTAAATGATCAAAAGATACATGCTATGCATGTGGTCAAGGACATAAAAGGAATGGAACAGGGATAAATGTTATAATTAGTAGGCCTAAAGCTGAATTTTTTCTATTATTATGATCATTAAAATGCTATTTGGGAAATAATTTTAAAAACAAAATAAAACCAACAGGAAAATAGTGACCAAATAAAATTCCATTTGCTTTGATATGTCTCTTCTCCAAAATACTTTTCGCCCCTTCATTTAATTCCCTGGTTAACTCAGAGTTCTAGAGGTTCTGCACACTATTCTGCCACCATGGAAGGCAGTAGCTATATAGAAATCTATGAAGTTCGAAAAACAAAAATGTCTAATTTTCCCCAAGACTTTCCATTGATTCAAGCCGGTGCCAAATTATAATGGTTTGATGATAGTGGAAATTAGGACCTATGCGTGGAATATAGTTATTTTAGATAAAAGGAATGTAAAGCTTAATAAAGGACCTCACTCTTTCAGTAGTCTTAAGATGAGCAGCAAGTATTTTTAAAATGTCACTATTTCTATGCTTCCCTGATTTTCTACAATTATCTTCTATTCTTTTGTTTTTAAAACAATTTAAAATTTTTCAGCTTCTAAAGATGTAAAGAGCTATTCCTAAATATTATAAGCCAGTTAGTTAAAATATTTCTCACAGGATTATTGATTGCAATTCTGAACTACTTTATATGTATACCATAGAATTAAATGAGTAGATTATAGATAATGACAGCCAGGTTTCTCACTCTTGGAGAAAGAAGTTAAAAATAAGAAAAAGGGAGGTGACTGGTTAGCTCAGTTGGTTAGAGCATGGTGCTGATAACACCAAGGTTGCTAGTTGGGTCCCTGCATGGACCACTGTGAGCTGCACCCTCCCTAAAAGAGTCAGCGATGACATTGTAGCACAAAAGCAATGTGTAACCAATGACCATGGCTGCTTCCCAATAAAATTTTTTTTAAAAAAGGATTCAAATTTAAAAAAAAAATACAGAAAAGGGGAAGGCTAAAATGAACCCAAAAAATCAGACAACCAACACAAACTTAACCAAGTGATCAAAGTAAATATCACCATCAATGTGACATATCACATCATGAATCCTGCGATATCATACACTAAGGACACATCATTTCTGTGGTATTCTTACCAAAAATGCATCTCACTTCAATCATGAGAGAACACTGGACAAACCAAAGTGAAGGACATTCTACAAAATAACTGATTAATACTCTTCAAAAGTGTCAAGATCATGAAAGACAGTGAAAGACTAAGGAAATGTTACTAGGAGACTGGAACACTGGAAGACTAAGAAGTAACAACGAAATTCTATGTAGATTCCTGAAACTCAAAAAAGGACATTGGTAGGAAAGATATTAAAATTCAAGTAATATACCAACGCTAGTTTCTGTTCTTGGTAAACTATGGTTATGGGAACTGATAATGTATGATGAGGGATATAAGGAAACTCTCTGAAGCATTTTTGGCAAATTTTCTTTAAATCTGAAATCAGTTCAAAATAAGATGTTCAAAGTAACATAAATAAATAAGACGCTCATTGTTAGTGGGCTATCATTGCTTGTAGGCCCTAGCAGCAGTGAAAAATATGAGAGAAATTGGGAGGGTTACCCATGCTTAAGGTTTAGAGGGGGATTCAGTACTCCATCATATTGGATGCTGGCAGGAAAAATTTGTGCTTGCCCAGAGGAAAATGAACTAATGAGAGAAAAGTCAGAGCCCTTTGTACTGTCGGCCCTCCTGACCAGAAGAGGCTTCTAGAGCTCTTTCTGCTCCAGCTTCACATGGTTTTAAGGAGACACTGCAGAGTTCTAACCAAACAAGCATATGAGCAGCCTCCCTGATGCCCGATTTCTTTAATACTATCATAAGAATTTCTAGTTAATGGATGCAGTAGCTCACAGGGAAAAGAAGGTACCACATACCCATGATACTTACTACTTAAATTCTTTAATAAGATTTTTGTGAATCTTCATGCAGAAATCCTCCACTGTGGTCCTGGAGTAAGGTAGCACCACTGGGGATGTATAATCTGGCAACTGGCCTTTGGGTTTGGTGTAACTAGAACAGAGAAGGAGCAGAGATTGTTGTCTACTTCTCAGAATGTTTCATGTGTTGACTGCAAATCAACCCTCCATCACCCCTGAGAAGATCAGACCCAGATAACCTCCAACTTGAGGCAAAAAGTGCCCTCAATATGGCGTAGCAGAGGAGTATGCTTTTAGAATTAACTAGTTACTGGTTCAACTCTCACTTACACCACTTGCTAGTCATGTGACCCTAATTCCTCACACTTTCTGAATCTCGGTTTCCTCATCTGTAAAATCAAAATCATATATGTAGATGATGTATTATAGATTTGTACACTTGAAACCTAAGCATATGTAATTTTACTAACTGTTGTCACCCCAATAAATTAAATTAAAAAAATAAAAATCACACTATATTCTTCCCTTATAGAATGATCATAAGTAATATTGCAAGAGCTGGGCATAATAGTTATTCATCACACAGTAGTTACTGTTCATTGTTAGGCCAGATCAAGCTGCTGGATTAATTCACTTTTTTTTTTTAATTTTTTTTTTTTAATTGGGGAATTGGGGGGATGGGAACAGCGCTGGGGAATTGGGGGAAGGGGAACAGACAAGTTGCTGTCATTTCATTCCTCAGTCTAGTTGTGGAGGACGTTGCTTCACTGGCTCAAGTTGGCACCATCATTGCGCTCTTCCCGGGCGAGGCAGATCAGTCGCCGGCTTCTGGACAGCCGCTCACGCTGGCTAATGGCCGCTCACGCTGGCTGCTGGCTACATACGGTAGCCCATGGCAACCCACTGCCACAGGGGCTGCAGCCTACGCCGTCGCCGGCGACTCACGGCAGCCCAGCTCCAGGTTGAGCTGTTATTCAGCATCTTAGCTGTGGAGGGCAGTGTCACTGGCCCTCATATGTGGGATCCGAACTGGGGCCCTCTGGCGTCCCAAGCCAGTTCTTAACCATCGCGCCACTCGGCCGGCACTAATTCACTTTTTAATTCATTTACTGATTATTCATTCCACAGGTATTTTGTGTGTGTGTGTTAAGGGCTGGAATTACATCAGTGAACAAAAGTGACACTTATGTCTTCATGATGTTTACAATTCAGTGGGCATTAGAGCCATTAAACAAACACAATGGAGGATCAAAAAAAAAATATATATATATATGACGTAGCAGATGATAGTAGTTCTTTATATCTCTAAAAAGATTATGTTAATGAGCTCCAGAGGATATCATTTTAGGACAGTCTGGTTTAATTCCTACAGCAATATTACCCTATCCACTGAGACTTACATCCTCACTAGTTTCAGATAGTCCCAGATCTTCTCCAACAGGTCATCAAAATTCCAGCGGTGATGGGCAGAGATGGGTACACAGTGAGGTACCTTGTAGATGATATCCAATTCCTCAATGGAGATCTGATCAATCTTATTTAACACATAGATACAGGGGATATAAACTCTATAGAAGTAGGAGAAAAACAGGACATGAGCCTGGAGCTGGTGACAAGATTGTCAGTTTGATTATCCACATCCCCGCACCCAGAACCCCAAATCAGAGACTCTCAAAAGGGATAAGAGGCAGATCAACCCACACCCTCCAAAAAAGGTTCCTACCAAAATAAAGTAGAATATGCAAAAGGTGAACTATGGGTTGAGAAGAACAAAATCCAGGCCCTAGTCCCAGCCACGCAGCTAACTACTGACAGAACATGCTACAGTGGAAAGAACACAAGCTTTGGAGTCACACAGACTGAATTTACTCCCAGCTTTGTCACCTTCTACATATATGCCCCTGGGCAAGTCTTACAGTCAATTTCCTACAAAGTTGTTTTAAGAATGTAAGTATATTTCTAATAATATATTTCATGATTTTTAATGAACAAAAAAATTTTTAACAGTATCTAGCAATTTACAATCCCAATGTCCAATCAATATGGCAGCTAAGGTTACTAATAATTAGGGAGGCCACAAATTCTCAGGGTTCAATTGCCTCACTTATAAAATGTCTAACTCAAAGCAATGGCTTGTTTGCTTTCAAATGTGGATCAAATAAATTCATCCAACAAATAGGAACAAATGAACAGGAAAGCAACTAGAAAATATACCCAAATGCCAGGAATAATTTTAACAGTGGTTTCAATTATTATTCAATTTCAAACATTAATAATAGTAATGTTTCATGGAATAGGGTTTCAGCTACATACCCTTGGGTTAGAGAGAACAGACATAACCCGGCCTGCTCTGAGTTCTACAGGATGGACTATAGGATTTCTCAGGTAGATTAATTCTGGGAGAGAAGACTGAGAACCTACTGTCTTCAACCATCATATGACACAGAGCTTAGGGGGCAGCCTAGTTCACGGCAAGTAACTGAAATGGGGAATCTGACCATTATAATCTTTGATGTAAAGAAGGATGATGAAAATCAAGATCAACCCTTCATTTTACAGCTAAAGAAACCAATTTTTTGAGACAGTAGCACAACTGGAGTTAGAATCAATGTTTGCCAGATTCACGATCCAATGCTATTCCAGTAAGTGCCTTCACATTCAAACTCAGGCCTTAGTCTGCACACTCGGTCCATACCTGTTTCCTTCCACCACATCAATGAGGTCATCTGCTGTGGCATCACTACGCAAAGTCACATCAGCATTATGAATTTTGTATTCAGCCAGAATGCTCTTCACAGTTTCAGCATCCAGCTCACTCTGAGGGCACTGAATGGGCATACAAGACGATGACTGGTCAGAGAGCAAAAAACTCTCCCGGAAGTATCTACTGATGTATCTGAATAATCCTAGCTAAAGTGAGAACTAATTTCTAAAGACTATTATTCTGGATGAGAGTAACTGACTTTTAGTAGGGAATACTTTTAAAATCTTTCCAAACTCTAAGGAAGGTGTTATGGGCTTTAATTGTGTCCCTACTCCACCCTCCTACCCAAATTTGTGTGTTGAAGTCCTAACCCCAGTATCTCAGAATGTGACTGGAATAGTCTTAAAGAGGTAACTGAGTTAAAATGAGATATGGGTGGGCCCTAATCCAATGTGACTGGTGTCCTTACAAGAAAAGGAGATTAGGACACAGACACACAGAGGGATAACCATGTGAAGACACAGAGAGAAGATGGCCATCTACAGGCCAAGGAGAGAGGGCTCAGAAGAAACCAACCCTCCTCACACCTTGATCTCAGATATCTAGCTTCCACAATTAAGAGAAAATAAATTTCTGTTGCTTAAGCCACCCAGCCTATGGTACTTTATTATGGCAACCTTATCAAACCAAAACTGAAAGCATATTGAATGCTCAAATTCAAACAGTATGGCAGGATAATGGGAAGGATCTTTTGGGCAGGACAGCTAGCTTAAACCTATGCCAGTCAAATCGTTTGAACCTCTAGAATGTTAAGTGTTGCAGGAAATTCTCAGTCCTCAATTATATGACTTAGAAGCAGCATTCGACAGAACTGATCACTCCTCCAATCTGAAACACTTTCTTTATTTGACTTCCAGATTCCAAACTCTTCTGGGTTTTCCTTCTCCTTCTTTGTCTGAGAAGTCTTATTTACTGATTCTTCCCATCTCCTAACCTCTAATCATTGGGAGAGCCACAAGGCTTCATCCTTGAATCTCTTTTCTATTTATACTCACTTCCTAGTGATCTCAGCTCAACTCATGGCTTTAAAGTTGAGAATCACCCACTTCATACTTCCAGCCCCTTTTTGACAGTAACACTTGGATGTCTAACTGGCATCTTAAACTGAACATCTTGATATTCTCTTCCCCTCCAAACCTATTCTACCCAAAGTCCTACTATTTTAGTAATGAGAGTGCATTTTTCTAGCTCAGGACAAAAAAACTCAAGTCATCTCGTTCTCTCACAATTCACATCCAATTCAGCTGTAATTTCTACCAACTACTTTCAAAACTTTTCCATAATCAACCACTTCTCATCTCTTCCACTAATACAACCCTGGTCTAAGAAGTCATCACTTTTTGACTGGATTATTGCAACAACCTCTTAAATGGTTTCACTGCTTCTGCTCATAATCCATTTCAGTCTGTTTTCTCAACAAACAGCCAGAATGATTCCATTAAAACCTAAATCAAATCATGTTTACTCCATAGATTGGTAAACCCAACCAGCAGTTACCCAACTCCTGCAAAGTAAAAGCATATATGGCCCTATGCTATGCCTTCATCTCTTACCACTCTCCTACTTGCTCCCTCTGCTGTTCCTCAAACACACCAAGGCATGCCCTACCTCAGGGCCATGAATGCTCCCTCTACATGAAATGCTCTTTTCCAAGATATCCATTTGGTTCACTCCTTCCTGTCACCTCAGTGAAGACCTTCTCTGATCAACCTACTTAAAATTGCAACCCTCCCACCAAAACTCTCCATCCTCTTTCCCTAGTTTATTTTTGATTAATCATCATCTACTATATTTACTCAATTTTGTTTGCTACTTTCCCCACTAGGATATAAGGGCAACGATTTTTGTCTATTTTGTACATTCTTCCATCCATTCCCCAGAGCCTAAACCAATGCTTGGCCCATGGCAGGCACTCTACTAATCTGTACCGAATGAATAAAAACATGATATTGGCAGCCATCTACTTCATGCAAGCCTAAGATTGATCTGTACTCCTATATCACCCCAAATAGATAACCCAAAAGAGGAAATGCAGTTGCAAAGTTAAGTCTGAGACTGCCTCTTATCCTACTCTTGATTCTTGTCAGTCATTACAAGGTCACTGTTGTCACCTCAATTACTACTAGAAGTCAGGTAATTTCCAAATATCACTGTTTCTGTACCTCAATCCACTCACCACCCCAGTTTCTTCAGCAGCCTGCCCCATTATCACCTTCTCTACTTACAGTGGCTGTAAGATTAATGCCTCCCTTATCCTTCTTCTTAAAGCCAATGTTGGGGGGTTTGCTGTTCAAGCGAATGCCAAAGCCTTCCAGTTCATTTTCAATTATCTTCTTATGTCCCAATGGCTTCAGGACATCCAGAACAATCAGGATCAAGTTACACGTTCGGGCCACTTAAGAATTGAAAACAACAAAAAAATTATACCCAAAGTTCATTAAAGGCTTAACTAATCCAAATACTCAAAAGTAGAAGGGGAGGTGGAGTTCCTATACTTAAGAGATAAAGGATTTTTTTGTAAATACATAGACACACATGAAGTTCTTAAGATTAACAAAAATTTATGCCAGAAGTCGATTTGCAATGTATGCCTTGTTTTTCTACTAGTGTATCTAGAAGTTGTGTCAACTTCTAGATACACTAGTAGAAAAACAAGTCAGAATGAAGATACAAACCAGGCAACAACCTAAATCCCTGAAAGAGTTTAGAAAGATTTAAAACAGTAATAACTCTAAAAGAATAAGATTATCTGGTTAACATATTTTAGTCAATTTATTGAGGCATTATTTACAAAAAAAAAAAAAAGACCTGTGTGACCAATACTGCAATCAAGATAAAGAACATTTCCATCACCTCCAAAAGTTCCCTTGTGCCCCTATCCAATCAATCTTCCCCTTGATTCTCAATCAACCACCGATCTGCTTTCTGTCACCTTAGGCATTTTTCAGAATTTCATATAGACTCAAACAAAATGTATATAGTCTTTTGCACCTGACTCTTTTAATTTAGCATATTTTTGTATTCACCCATGAATAACTTGAAATGTATAATTATATAAAATAGCTAAATTAATAATTCAATATAAGAGTAGAATAAAAATACTTCCAGGGGCTGGCCGAGTGGCTCAGTTGGTTAAGAGCTGGCTTGGGACGCCAGAAGGGCCCGGTTTGGATCCCACATATGAGGGCCAGTGACACTGTCCTCTATAGCTAAGATGCTGAACAACAGCTCAACCTGGAGCTGGGCTGCCATGAGTCGCCGGTGACGGCGTAGGCTGCAGCCCCTGTGGCAGTGGGTTGCCATGGGCTACCGTGTGTAGACAGCAGCCAGCATGAGTGGCCAGCAGCCGCAGTGAGCGGCCGTCTAGAAGCCGGAGACTGATCTGCCTCGCCCGGGAAGAGCGCAATGATGGTGCCAACTTGGGCCAGTGAAGCAACGTCCTCCACTATACTGAAGAACAAAACGACAGCAACTTGTCTGTTCCCCTTCCCCCAATTCCCCAGCACTGTTCCCATCCCCCAATTCCCCAATAAAAATCT